CTTCAGTAGGCTTCTACCCCCATCCATTCCCCTTTCATCCCCCCTTCTGCGTTCACACGATGGCATCACTGGTGCCGCGGCCAGTAGCGAGGCCGACAGATCCCCACGGCAGGCCGCTCTTCTGTAGCATAGGCGTAGAGCTGGAGGCACAGACCAACCTGTTCGAGATCGGGCTCCACAACCGACGTCAGTTCGCCGTCTGGGTGTATGCCACTGGTACGTGGAGCTGATGCAAGGAAGATCTGGCGAGATCTGTGTCTGGTGCGGGCCGAATTGTGTGGTCTTTGTGGGGTTGTGGTGCAGAGTTTGACCCGCCCGTAAACGCCCTCGGGCCGCAGCGGGCGCTGATCTACCGAAACTCCGAGCAGGTACGACACAGACGATGGCTCCAGATGGGAAAGCTCACGGGGGAGAAGGGATCTCTCTCACAAGAAGATGTTTGGTCCGGCCGGGCGGGGGGGCTTTTTTGCTCCGGTGTGTTCCCTCTTTTCTTATGTCAGATATTGCAGAGTTTGAATGCGTTTGGGGGTGCGCTGCTGTACCAGGGCAAGCACACGTTTGTCAAGGTTGACACCAACATACAGCCGAACCACACGGCTTCCGTGACGCTCCCACAGACCGCTGACGTGAGTGCAGGGGATGAGAGGGAGGGGGGATGGGAGGATGTGTATGTTGATTGTGCCTCTTGCACTGCAGACGGGGGCGCCTCAGCGTATCAGCTTCATGGCCAGGCATACCATCGACCTGCGTACGGACGGCAACGCGGGGGAGAACTGGGGAGAGCAAGCACACACGTCGGCATGCGCTCTCTCTCTCCCTCTTTGTGGGCTTGTGTTGCTGTCCCTTCGTCCATCAATGTGTGTATGATGCAACAGATGGTGCGCTGGACCAGGAGACCATCCAGTATCTCAACTGCGCCGTCAAGAAGGCCATGGGGCAACTCAGGGTCAGTCTCCCCACCCCCCAACACAACACACAGACGCTTCCTTTCCACCGCTCTGCCTCTCTCTCTCTCTCTCTGTGTGTGTGTGTGTGTGGCCGTGCAGTTCCAGGTGATCGGTCGTCATCTGTTCCTGACGGAGATGATGAACGATCACCAGGTCGACCCCGAGCTGGGCGGCACCACCACCGTGGGCAATTACAAACTCCTCCTCCTCCCCGGGTACTTCACGTCCATTCACCAGCTCGGCGCGTCACTCTATCTGCAGGTCACCCAGCGCTTCATCCATCTGCGTCTAGCATCTCCTTGTGTCTCTTGTGGGCTTTATGGCTGGTTTCTCAGGTGGACGGCACGCACCGCATCATCCATATGAACACCCTGCGGGACGTGCTGGAAGAAAGACGGGTGGGTGGGTGGGTGGGTGGATGGAGGGCTGGGCACACACGGGGTGTGTCCCATGGATGTGTGTTGGGGGATGCAGCGGCGTTTCACCGGGGATGAGGCCGTGTTTGCGCAGCGGATGAACGAGGAGTTCCAGGGGAGGCGCATCATCACCGTATACGTAGGACCGACGAACAGCCACAGAATAAGCCCCCACCCAACATGTCGGCTGTCCTTTCTTTGTTGATCGTTTGCTTGCAGGAGAGCGGCCCCGTGGGCAACAGAGATCGGAAGCTCTACGCCATAACAGAGGTGCACACCCCACACCCCCACCCCCTTTCACTCCCACGCGCGTGTCTCTGCGTGTGTGTGCGTGTTTGTTTCCGCCCGTCAATTGGTTCAGTTGTTGTTTGGTGAGCCTGGCATCCACCGCACCTTCACCCGTCGGCAGCAAGGGCAGGAGGTGACGGTGTCGTACGCCCAGTACTTCCAAAACACATACGGCATCACACTCGCCGAAGGGCAGGCACTCGGTACGCCCATGGCCACCCACACACATATGTGGTTGGTCCGTCCCTGCTTTCGTCCATCCGTCCATCGGCTGTTGGCTGCAGTCAAGTACGAGAGGAGTCGTCGCATGCCGGACGGGACTCAGCAGGTCATCAATACCATCATCCTGCCCTCACAAACAGTCACACTTACCGGTCAGCCACAGCCCCCAAGACCCCCACACACACAACCCCCCTCTCTGCCTCTGTCGGCTTGCTTGCAGGCATGGATGAGTCCATCCGCAGCAACTTTGATTTGAACAACCAGATCGCCAACCGGTGCCGAATGCTGCCCGGCGCGCGGCTGGACAAGAGCAGAGCGTTGGCACGGAAGCTACAGGCCCAGACGGCCGCTGGGGGCGGACCTAGCCGGGCTGCCCGTGAGTGAGACAGAGAGAGCGAAACCACCACTTTGTTTATTGACACATTGTGTGTGTGTGTGTGTTTTTGTGCAGAGGTGTTGGATACCTATGGGATCACCATCCAGCCGGACGGCAACCTGGTCAGACGGACGGCAACCTGGTCAAGGGTAACAAAACACCACACAAGAGCACGCCACACCCACCCATCACCCCGACACTTGCGCACACCCCCTTGTGTCTCTATGTGTGGATATGTGTGTGCAGGCCGCCATCTGTGTGCGGGCGATGAGGCCGCCTTCTTCCGGTACTACGACAGGGCCCATGAGAAGGAGCTGCTGCAGGAGGAGCAGCACGCCGAGAAGCGTCATCAGCACGGCACACCCATACCCGGGCCGCCCAGAAACGCCAACTTCAACAGCAACTCACTCATCGCTCCGGTAGGTGTTTCTGGAGGGGAAGACGTCAACAAGTGTGCTGTATGTCGTGTGGTTTGTGTGATGTGTGGCTGCCATGTGTGCAGGCCAACTTGAAGCGTTGGATTGTGGTGTACGGGCAGGACCACGAGGCCCTCAAGACCAGACTTGTTAACGACATACGAGCCAAGGCACAACGTACAAAAGAGACACGACGCACACAGTGCCCTCCCACCCCACCCCACCCCCGCCACCCATCTCTCTCCGTGTGCCTCTCATGTGTGTGTAGAGTACGGGATGGGCTACGACGCCCCGCTTCTCATCTCCCCGCCTGTGCTCAGCATGGCCAACCTCAATGACCCCCGATCCGACCACGACTACGATGTGAACATGAAGACCCTACGAGAGCGCGAGAAGCGGGCCAGCGACCCCATCAGCGACCCCATCATGGTGGTCTTCATACTGCCCGACAACAAGACCCAGGCCAAACAGGTCTATGAGGTGAGGAGAGAAATGGGCTGGGGGTGTGGGTGGATGGATGGAGGGTATGTGGGTGTGTATACTGTCATGCAGGCCATGAAGCAGCGGCTGACCTGTGGGAGGGAGGCGGTGCTCACGCAGGTGGGTGACCATCGGTGAGTGGGCAAAGACAGACAACCTCCTCACGCAAGCCTTCCTATGTCTCTGTCCATCTGTATGGGCGGGCATGTGTGCAGGGCGTGCAAGCCAAGACCATCTCGGGCCGTCGGTGGAATTCGGCGCTCCCAAAACTGGTAGCCCAGATCGCATGCAAGGTACCCACCACACACACGAAGAGAGAGAGGGAGAGAAGGCCCACCACCCCACATGTGTGTGTACTTAGTTGGGCGGCGCAGCGTGGGCGTTGAACACCGAGCCTGTGGTCAGCACCATGGTCATCGGGGTCGAGTGCAAGAAGGCCAGAGGTATCTCCAACAGACACCAGCCCCACACACGAAGTGAACCGATGGATGGATGGATGGATAGATGTGGATGTGTGTGTTCAGGCAGGTCGGTGATAGTGTTGACGGCCTCGATTGACGACCTGTTCCTCGAGTACTACACGAGGGTTTTGGTGCGGGAGGGGGAGAGCGAGCACGTCGATAACTTCCCCGTCCTCATCAAAGGTACACGTGCATGCCCCATACACCCCCGCCACAACATATGGCCTCTTCTGTCTGTCTGTATGTGGATGGTTGGATGGCTGGATGGCTGGATGGCTGGATGGCTGGATGGCTGGATGGCTGGATGGACAGATGCTGTAGCCAAGTTTCTGAAGAACCCGCGCTTCAACGAGCAGCCGCCTAGCAGATTCATAATCTACCGGTCCGCAGTGGCGGACAGTCACACCTGCCCATTTCCTTGTGTCCGTCCGCCTATCCGTTTGTTTACATGTGTCATGAATGCAGTGGTGGTTTGGGTGAGGGTCAGAAGCGCGCTGCCGTTGAGTTTGAGGTGCCCATGATTCAGGAGGGGTTCAAGCAGCTGACGACTGACCAGTGGAAGCCCGAGTGGATCTACATCATAGTCAACAAGAACGTCAACCAGAGGTACACACACACCGCAACACACACACACACACATGCACCCATGCACCCGAGCAGACGCAGGGTGTCGACGTGGTCAGGTTTGCCGTGCGCAAGCCGGGCGGCGGCGCACTCGACAACCCACCGCCACTCAGCGTGTTCGACCAAGGTACCACTTTGTATCGATCTTCACACCAAGTGCAGATGACCATCCATGTGCTCATCGCTGTGTGCGTGTGTGCCAAGCAGGTGTGACGGACACCACCCAGTTGGTCTTCTGCGGCTGCCACCAGTTCGTCACACAAGGTACGGCACGAACAGCAGAGCACACAGCCCCCATTCTCTGTCTGTGTGGATGTGTCTCCCCTCCCTCCATCCCTTCCTCACTCCCTCTTGCTGTCATGCGTGGCTGACAGGCACCGTGACGCCCACCAAGTATGAGGTCTACGGCCAGTCCGACAACTGGGATGCAGACGGCCGGTTTGGCGTCGACGGCCTCTGCCGCATCACCATGCAACTGAGCACACTATACCAAAACTGGAGCGGTACACACATAAACATGTGTATCACAGAGGGAGAGGCAGGGAGGCGTCCACTCACGTTTCGTGTGCGGCGTTTTCTTGGCCCCTTCAGGCCCGATCCGCGTGCCGGCACCCGTGAAATACGCCGAGACGTGAGAAAGAAAGAAATACACGACAACCCCACTGCGGCCCACTCGTGTGTGGATGTCTCTGTGTGTGTTTTTGTGTCGGTTAGGTGTGCGCGTAAGGTGACCGAGGCGCTGGCCAACAAGGTGCCGTCGAAGCAGCTGTCCACCAAGCTCTGGTTCCTGTAGCTAATCCAGTGAATGAGGTGGCCCATGGTACGTATCCCGAAACAAACAGCGAGGGGGAGGGAGGGAGGGAGGGAGGGAGGGAGGGGAAGATGTGTTTGTGAGGAAGGGAGGATCAAATCATCGCTGCCATGCATTACATATCTGATGGATGGCAGGCATTATGTGGCTCCCAGCAGCACCATTGCGTGTCTCGCTCTGTCATCAGCGTAGCTATGCAGCTAGCTGCGGTTGTCGATCTTCGCTGTTAGCTGGCGCTGCATGTACCTGTATGGTCATGTGCCCTTCTGATTCAGTGCTCTACCTGGCCAAAGAAGAGACAAGGAAGCCCTGCTCTGTGAGTCAGCCGCTCTCATTCATTCATTCAATCTGTGTGCATGTGTGTGTCCTTGTATGTGTGTGTGTCCGTGTGAGCGGATGGGATGCCATTGGGGGTAGAGCCACATAGAGTAGAGCTCTCGAACTACATACCGGGTAGCATCGCATACTGTGTGTGCGTCTGTCCATAGTGCGTGTGCGTGCAGACTTCGATCACCGAGCTCAATGTCAGTGTAGTTGATCCAAAACCTCACCTCATCTCCGTCCAATCCGGCCCCCTGGACCAATCAAACCATCGGCAGAAGGAGGGCCATCCATGAAGGCACGTGCATGCGCATGCCGTTGCAACGGCGCATCCCTCACGCGTGGGCCTCTCCTGCCATCAGTGCGGCTCCATCCATCCACAGCCACGCCCTCTGCAATGAGTCGTTTTCGCGAAAAGAGGGGATCGGCTGATCTTAGCTCGCAGACGCTGCAAATAATTCATCCCATCTCTCTGCCACTGCCCAAACAGACTCCCCCCACCCACTCACGTGCCGGATCTCCATGTTTTTGTGGAGTTGAGGCATCCGCCGGGGAGAGCGGTGCGACTGCACGAATGACGCTCGACAACCTCAAGAGCGCCGAGCCGCATCAGCGGCCGAGAGAGCTGCCGCCGCAGGTACGTCGCTGCTGGCAAGGACTAACACGCAGCCACTCATTGATTGACTTGTTGATCATCGTTCTGTGTGTGGCTGTGACTGATCGATCTCCGCAGCTGCGGCGGTTCGTGCCTGTGTGGACGTGCACGTGGTGTCTGGCGAGCGTGTTTGGCGAAGACGAGGAGAAGCTCACCTACTGGATTGACAAAAGTGAGTCACCTGTGATGCGATGGATGGATGGTCACTCCAGATCGCCTATTTGTCTGTCCGGTGTTTGCTTGTCACAAAGAGGATGAGGGCGTCCAGTTTGACGGCCTCATCAAGTACACGGGCGCCAACATGATCTACGACGATAAGACCGATTCGGAAGTCAAGTAAAACACTCACCCACTCCCCCGAGAATCATTCACGCACGGCCCGTGTGCGTGCGTGCGTGTGTGTGTGTGTGTGCGTGCTACTCACTGACCCCCAGGGAGGGCGCCATCTTTTACATTCGCGACGCGCCTCCTCGGTGGCTGTTCGGGTTCGGCTTCCTGCAGGGCTTCGCCAAGTTTGTGTGCCGATATGATGACACTAATGACGCCTTCTGGGTCATGCACGCATTCAGCAACGGTCAGCCAGCCTGGATGGATGGTGGAGGGGGAAAGTGAATAGCAACAAGGGTCGATGTGGGCATGCATGTTGTATGTGTGCAGGTGTGTTGCCTGAGGGTCATGCGTGTGGTGCCCGTGTGGCTGCTGAGTTGCTGGTGGAGCTGGCGGGCGAGAGGGTGAGTGAGAAGGAAGGCGATGGTGCATGTTTGTCATGTGACTTGGCTGGCTGGCAAGCCAATGTGTTTGTGTGAACGTAGATATCGTCCTTCAAGGAGTTCGTGCTGCACAACGTGGTCAACGTCAACACCTATGTCCTCACGCGACTGCACGAGTCGGTCGACCCACTGGACAACCTATCGCACTCGCCGCTGCAAAAGTAAACACGCTCACACCACACCCACACATACGAGAGGGACCAAGCACCAGCACCAACAAGCAAGCCACCCATTTCTCTCTTCCGATCAGGCGAGAAGCCGAGCTGGAGCGTGCTCATGTGTCTGCGGCCGAGCTGCTGTCGCCCGAGCTCTCCACTGTCTTCATCAAGACCGCTTTAGGCCGCTTCACGCGCAACGTTCTCCGCTTCCTCAACGAGTGGGCCGACGTCTCGCGCAGGATCGGCTCGGTCAGGGCCGTGTGGGCCAACGACTTCACCCAGATAGGGGGAGAGCTGACCAAGGCCCTCCATCTTCACGTGCAGATCGTCCGCACTGACAACCCGGTGAACGTGTCGCCGCCCCTGGCCATGGCCAAGTCGCCATCAGATGTGCCATCGGCGGCCAGCCTCAATCTCGGTGATGGTGGGAGGAACATCGTGGTGCTCGTGTGGGACGAGAGCATTGAGAAGCTGTTCCGCGCCCATGTCGGCCCATCTGTGCACCCTGAGCGGCCGGAGAGGCTCACTGCGACAATTGAACACCTGAAGGTGACGTGCGTGTGTTGCGCCTGGAGAGGTCTTACCGACACTATCTATGGACGAATAGGTTGCTGTATGGTATGTGTGGGCGTGCGTCAGGATGAGGGTCTGTTTGACGAGCTGACGGTGCTGCGCAGCCGGCCTGCCACACGTGACGAGCTGGTGCTGGCCCACAGCAAGGCGTACGTGGACAAGATACTGGGGCTGCCCAAGGAGGCCGCCGCGCGGGAAATCGCCAAGGCCACACACAAGGAGATGGACACTAATCCCATGCTCGCATGCAACAAATTCTGGTGGGTCCGTCCGGGAGCCCTGGCTGCACTTGTCTACTCACCCCAATGAGGGCTGGGCGCCTGGTGACGTACGTCTGCATGTGTGTGTGTGTGTGTGTGTGTGTGGCCGTGCGTGTGTGTAGGTTTCCGTTTTCGATGGACCCCGACACGTATGTGTGTGAGGGCAGCACTGAGGCGGTCAAGGCGGGGGTGGGCAGCGTCCTCACTCTCATGGACGTCATCATGGACCCCAGTAAGGTTGAACCGGTGGACGGACGCGTCAATCAAGTGACACACACATGTTTGAATCTATGGCCATGCTCCGCGTCATACCTTCTTTCCAGAGTCCCAGGTGCGGAGTGGGTTTGCCCTTGTGCGGCCACCTGGCCACCACGCCGGCGCGTAAGGCACAGACACAGTCACACCAAGGGAGGTTTAGGGGGAATACGTACCTACTGGTTGACATCCGTCCGTCCCGTTCTATGTGTGTGCAGGAGTCAGGGCGGTGGGTTCTGTCTCATCAACAACGTCGCCACGGCCGCGCGCTACCTGCAGAGCAGACACCACGTCGAGCGCATCATGATCGTCGACTTTGACGTGCATCTGGGCGACGGCACTTATGAGCTTGTCGGGCAGGATGAGGACATTCTGTTTTTCGATGTCCATCGGGGCGGCAAGACGTTTTATCCAGGCAAGGACAGCCGCCTGAAACTCACACCCGACGCAGCAGAAGGTGGCACCATCAGTCTGCCATTGGACAGGGGGTGAGCTTGTGGTGGGGGTGGGTGAGGGTCACTCACTGGTATGCTGCGGTGCGGTGTGATGCTTGGTGCTTGCAGGTACGGCGACCCCGATCTGTATCATGTTTTTCGGGAGATCCTGCTGCCCGCCTGCAACATATTCCAGCCCAACTTCATCCTCGTCTCGGCAGGCTTTGACGCCGTGCAGAGGGTACGCGACGCGTGTGGTGTGGGCGGTATGAGGGGCATTCACTCTTGTGTAGCGTGTCAGTTCCATCCATCCATCCATCCACCGATTTGCATTATGCTATCAGGACCGCGTGGGCGGCTGCCGTGTGTCGCCCAACTGCTATGGGTGGATGGTGTCGCAGCTCCTGCAGCTGGCGGATGTGCACTGTGAGGGCAAATGCGGGCTCGTCCTTGAGGTAAGCGCCGCACCCACACGCAACCTCACACAACGTGTGCGTGTGCCCGCCTGTGTGTGTGTGTGTGTGTGTGTGTGTCAGGGTGGGTATCACCTGATGGGTATGGCGTCTGCCGTGGCGTCGTGCGTGTTCGCCCTCGTGCACCACCCGCTGCCCGAGGACTTCGCCATCGACATCAACCCAGGAGCGGTCATCCGGCTGCACCACATCGGGCAGATGGACACGGTGCACGACGTCAGCGCTAATAGGAAGAGGAGACAACCCAAGAGGAGCACCATCAGGGTTAGCCGAGCCGGCCGAGCCAGATACATACCAGCAGCTGCTCTTTGCGGCCTGCAACAGTGCTGTGTGTGTGTCCGGTGTGTGTGGGAATGGATGGATGGATGGATGCATGGATGGATGGATGAATGGACGTAGGCGATCAAGGAGCTGTGCAAGCGGTACGGGTGGGAGCCGAGTCAGAATCTGCTGATAGCGCGGACGACGTCGGGCATGACGTCACTGTCCAACAGCTCTGTGGGCTCATCCGTCACATCAGCCGGGTACAGTAAGCCCACCGACTCATCCCATCCACCCACCTCTGTCACACACACATACAAGTACTTATGTGTGCTGTGCGTGTATATGACGTCAGCCCCATGACGCCCCACCGGTTCAGCCCCTTCCGCTTCTCTGGCTCAAACAGCCCCAACCAGCCGATGGCGGGAGGCGCTCTCAGCAGGTGAGTGATGTGGCCTTCCCAACCACACACAACACACGACACACGCTCCCTCAGTCAGCTCAACATGTCTGTCGTGGTTTCTGCTTGACTCTACCTACCAAAGCAGGATGACTCTCGGCATGATGACGCCGAGCATGCTTCGGTCGCGCATCTTCAACTACAATGACCCCGCCGTGCCGCCCCTGCCCAAGTCGTCATCCAACCCTGTTGTCCACACCCTCCGGCAGATGAGCAAGAACTCTTTGGCGCGGCTGGTGGACGGCCTCCGGAGGCGCAAAGGGGGCGGCAGCAAGAGGCGGCCTGGCGGGGGCATGTTCAGGGCACACTCACACTGGGACATGCAGATGCAGGTCAGCCAGCCACGCATAGACAGACAAGCCGAGACAAGAAAGACACAGACGTTCTGACATCCCTTCTTCCTTCATTGTATGTCTCATTATCTCTTTTCTGCAGGCCTCCATTGGTCGCTCCCCCGCAATGAGCCCCAGCCTCTCCCCCCAGTCAATCTCGCCCCCCCTCCAGCGCTTCCAGTCACAATCACGACTGCCCCTAGCACCAGGGGCGGCGGAGTCCTTCACCGGCACCTTGGGCGAGCCCTCGCCGCGCAACGCACCCCCACCGTCCATCCAGCATCCACAGCCGATGCTGCCTCAGCGTGGCCTGGTGCGTGGGATGGTCAAGAGCCCGTCTGACGGCAACATCTTGGACCGGGCGACACGGGCGGGGTTTGGGTTTATTGGTGATGAGACGCCGCCGGCAGGGATGGATTGTCACAGGGGAGAGGAGGAGGAGGAGCTGGTGCTTGTGGTGGATGAGTCTCTGGAGCAGCAGCAGCGGAATGGTGGTGTGGCTGCGGGTGGAGATGAGACGAGGATGGCCTCCACTGACATGGGCGAAGAGGGAGAGGGTGAGGGTGAGGGTGAGGTAGATGATGCCATCGCCGCCGAGCATGAGCCTGGCTCAGAGGCAGAGCTGGTGGAATTGGGCAGCAGGGAGCTCCGATCTGCTGCTGCGGCCGTTGACGATGGTGGTGTGTCAGAAGACCAGCAGCAGATGGATGGATGGCTTTGTGGGACCTGTGTGGATCGGCCGGCAGCGGACGACCACGAGCAACTGGATCGACAGCCATGAATGACCGATGGATGATTCAGAGTAGACGTGTCTGTCTGTCTGTGTTGCATGTCGGTGTCTGTCTGTCTGTGGTGTTTTTGCAGCATGCTGCACTGCACTGCACGCATCAGACAGACAGACACCGACATCAAATCAATGGTATGTATATCTATATATGTGACACACTGACTGCCTCAAGTAAGTAAGGGAAGCCACTGAGTGTACCCTCACACAAACAAATACGGCGGGTGCGTAGTCACTCGATCGCATTAATTGTCTGTCAAGCACTGGCAGCCAGCGAGTGAGTCAGTCAGTCGGCATCAATCAAGGAACAAACGAACGAAAAAGAATCGCCCACCCGCCCCAAGCTTAGCGCGTCTTCATTCGGCGTGCGTCATGGCTGCGTGCTTCTATCCATGACGCCGAACCCACCCGGTGACCCCTCTCGCGGAAGTAATTAGACGCTCGTCCATTCAGGCAGGCAAACAGACAGATAGACAGACAGACCGACAAACAAGACAGGCAGGTTGAAAACCGGTGTGTGCGGTAGGTAGGTACTGAGACAAGAGAGAGAGAGAGAAAGGAATCTATCTCACTCACGAATTGAGCACCCTCGATCATCTAGCTAGCCCCAATGTGATTCTGTGCACGCGACGGAGGAGAAAGTCACTCACATGGGCGCGAAGTGACGCACACACAGGGTAGGGACCGTTTTGGCCGACAGGGATGGAGGGAGGGGCCTAGCTACGCTACCGCTACGCACACAAAAGTCACTCACCGAGCTACAGATGCGACCGCACAGACCACATGGTCGCTGGGGGTGTCTCAGGAGACATCCGTCCCGTCGGTCATCTCTCTCATCCGAGGTGTGCCATGTAGAAGGCGTAGGGCACGTCGTTGCGTTTTGCGAGAGGCGGCAGCAGCAGCAGGTTCTGCCGACAGTCCTTACGAGGACATATCCTGTCCTTCTCCTCCACCTCCAGCTGCACACACCACACAAGGGAGGGAGGGACACACATCACGTCATGTGACACACACGAGGGACACACACTGTACTACCTTGATCAAAGTGGATAGAGCTGTGATTTCCCCCACTGCTGCATCGATGGCCCCTGCGGACAGGGCCTCGAGCATCGCACTCCCGCTGGCATACGCATCAACACGCAGCTGCACATACACACCACACCACGGGCAATCATGCTGCATGGAGCCTCTGCGTCTCTCTCTCTCTCTGCAAACGTGTCTGTGTCTGTCGGGGGGCGGCGGGGGATTACTGACGTGCGGTAGTATGGCCTTGAGTAGGTGGAATTCGTAGCTTTCCTCGTTGACGACTCCCATTGTCATGCCTGTCCTGTTGAGCCGCTCCACCACCAGCTCGCCGTCAGTCGAATTCTGAGACGCAACCAGCGCCTCACTGATGTAGCCATGAGCCTCCCTGCTCGCGATGCATACACAGAAGGGCAGACAGAGGGCCGGCTGCTATGGTGTGGTTTGTGTCCATCAGTCTGCAGCCGGGTCACTTATTTACTTGTATTGTGGCGAGAGCAGCAGTGCGAGGCCCGCCGGCCCCTTGAGGAAGGGGCACGTGGCCTGGACGTCCAGGCGGTCCTGCTGCGCCTGAGACAGCAGACGCAGACCTCCTAGAGTCAAATCCGCTGTGTCGGCCTGCAGACTCGACTGTCCATACCACGCACCGCCCCGCCCCACGGCACACACAACCACAACCACAAACAGAGAGAGGGAGGGAGGGGGGGATATCCATCTCTGTGTGTGTCTGCTGGGTTTGTTTCTTTGTTTCTAGCGGTCTCTTTGTTCGTTCACCTGACCTGCAGGGGTGTGACGCTTCTCATCTTGGTCATGATAGCCCTCTTGCCCTTGACCACACTGAAGTCCACATCAATGGTGGCGTTGTAGGCCTCGCTCCACTCCCGAGCAATCGCCTGTGCCAGCCCCACCTCAAACCCCCACACCCCCAGACCCTCCGTGGCCGCGTCGACACTCTTCTTCGCCAACGCACTCCCGTCCGCCTTGTGCGGCACCAGAAAGGCCAATGGCGGCGTGCCAAAGTGCCCCGCCACCCGCAGCCGGCCGCTATCCACGATGCGCTTCATGCGCCCGGTGAGGGCCTTCCTCGGTGGGTACGTCAGCCGTGCGACGTTGTCGGGATTGACGGGCGGGCATGCGCGCAGGAGGGCTGCGGAGAGCCGTGGGCGTCCGGCAAGGGAGAAGGTGGAGGGCATGAAACGGGAGAGCGAGTAGGAAAGCGTCACGTTCTGCCCACTGTCGATGTCCATGTTGTCCTTCCCCTGCTGCTCGTCCATCAGGTTTTCGACCTCCGGGTTACGTGGGTGTCTGTCGAAGAAGGTCATGTAGCTGCGCAGGAACTTGCCGTGGGCCTTGCCTTGGGTGAGGATCCCCATCAGGGCCACGTTGACGCTCTTGTGCAGCTGACGCAGCCCGGCCGCACGTGTGTCGGGGGTGTCCTTCTCTAATGGTACGGACGGCAGGGAAGCCACCACAGGGTCGGGGATTATCACCTGCACACCACACCATCCACCACACCAATCATCCCATCCACATACAGGGCGGAACAGCCCACCTCTCTGATTTGCTCTTGTTTGTCTTTGTCCATGTCGTGGGCTCCTTTGCTGGTGCTGTCGTGTGTGGTGCTGTTTGGTGCGGGGGGCAGGTCCTCGATTGTGAACGGCTCGCCTTCCTCGGATGCATAGTGCCGACCCCATGGAGCACCGTAGCCTTCACACACACACACACATACACACATACACACACACACACACACATACACACACACACACACACAGAGAGAGAGAGAGAGAGAGCATGCAGTCCATCCATCTATCCATCCATCCATCTGTTAACCACTTACAGACTTCATCATTGCACACCCTCGAGCAGCACTGCAGGTCCGCACTGCACGGCGAATTCTTCGGGGCACACTGAAGCTTACTGAACCACACTCCACACAATACGTGGTGTGAGCACACCACACCACACCACAGGCTGTAGCGTCTGTCTGTCTGTCTGTCCATCTGTTCCATTGCTCGCTCGGCTCACCCGACGCCCTGCAGGACGGTGTGTCTGGGTGAGGCGAGTGAGCTGCCCGCCTTGGCCACTTGGTTCCTGGGCGGCTTGTGCTGGGTGTCGTGTGGCGGGAATGGCGGGAGGCCGTACCATTCGGCCACATCGTTGACGCTGTTCTCGTGCTCCTTGTCGGGGTCCACAGGCTGAGGCTGGTGGGCATCTTGATTCGTGCGGCGATTCTGCTGCTGCTGCTGCTGATTCTGCTGCTGCTGCTGTTGGCATGGTGCACGTAAGATGGCCGACAGGGAGAGGGAAAGGATGAAGCCCGCCCTCATTTCACGCTCCTCAATCGCTGCGTGTTCAGAAATTACAGGCAGGTGGTTCTACAATTTCTGTCTGCAAGCTAAGACAGAGATGGATGATGTCGAGGTTGCTGTGAAGGCGGACGATGACGCCGCCATACGCGACTTCGCCGCGCGGTTCCAAAACGAAAAGAGCGGTGCGCTGCATCATGGCATGGCACATGAGTGCTGAGTGATGAATGCTGTCTGTATCTGCTGTGCTGCTGTGTGTGTCTGTTGTGTTGCTGCCCTGCCGTTGTTGCCATGGCATGGTTCGTGCAGCTGTCGAGGAGCATCTGCGCAGCGCTTCTCGCTCAGCGGAGGTCTCCACCACCCTGCAGAATAGTCTGAGCGGCTTGGAAGACGGCCTCAACAAGATCTCCAGCCTGCTGCCCACATACGACAGACAGAGATATCAACAGGCAAGGCAAGGCAAGACTGACACACGCACACACGCACAAACACCATCCCATCACCGACGAGAGATCTGTTGCTGTCTGTGTTTGGTTGGTGTATATGTATTGATTGCTCTGCTCAGGAGCTGACGTCGCTGGGCGACCAGGTGGCTCGCCTCACTCGCCAGACACCAGCCGGCCGCAAGAAATTCACCTTCAAGAAGAAAACTACCACAGCCACAGCCACTCCCGCTACCGCAGCACCGCCGCCAACCGCTCAGCCCACCGGAGCACCAGATAACCGTGACCAGCAGCAGAGGGACCGGCCTGCTGCTGGTCGTGATGATGGGCTGACAGGCACCAAGGACGAGAGGAATGGCCGTGTGGGTGTCGGTGACGGTGAGGGTGGCATAGTTGAGGATGCAGCGGCACGGTTGTCGCGGCTACAGGCCCAGGTGGGCAACCTGGCACTGGAGAACCTCACGAATGACCGGTAGGTACAGGGAGGGGTAGGTGGGCCAATGAGTGAGGAAAAGGATACGCCACGCCACGCCACGCCACGCCACCACCTGGTTGTGTCGTGCAGGGTGTTGCTGGGTCCTGGCAGCTGTGGGGGGAAGGACCTATCGCTAGAGAACCTGGTCAGTCAGCACTTCGCTTCGGGGCCGGATCAACCTGCTCGCATCGCATCGCACTCATTGTTTGTCTGCGTCATGGCGTTCGTATGGTGTTGTGGTTGTTTGTTTGTGTGTGTGTTTGTTTGTTCAGTCAGGGTGCATCGTGATGGTGCTGGACCAGCTGGGGGCGGTGCGGATGCGCAACATCACTGAATGCCGAGTCTGGTGAGGGAGGGAGGGACCAATCAAGGGAGGGTCCCACGGGAAGGAAGACAACACACACACGACAGGTGCGTACAAGTCCCAGTGGTTCTGTCTGTTCTGTCTGTCTGGTCTTCAGGCTGGGTGCCGTCCAGTCGTCCGTGTTGATATATGGCTGTGAAAGATGCGCCATTACCGCAGCGGCTAGACAGGTGGGGTGGGGGACGCGCTCAATCTGCACGCTCTCTCTCTCTCTCTCTCTCGAGGCATCGTCTCCCTCGAGGCATTCGCTTCGCACACGTGTTCGCTTCCCTTGATTGATCAGGTGCGCATCCACGACGCCCACCGATCCGCCTTTCACCTCTTCTCCGTCTCGCCACCTGTCATTGAAAGGCACGCCACGCCACGCCACGCCCACTTAGCAGGCACAGCCGAATTCATTCATTCTCGTGTCTGTGCACTGCGCCGACCGCACCGCAGGAGTGAGCACATCTTGTTCGCGCCTTTCGACCTGGCCTACCCGGAGCACGCCCAGCAGATGCAGGTGGGCTGAAAAGACCTGCCTACACCATAGCCACTCGCCCCCTGTCCAGTCCGCACCCATATCTGTCTGTCTTGATGGATGCCCTCAGACGTGCAGGTTGCCAGAGATGACGGCAGCAGACAGGGAGATCCCCTCCACAGCACACAGGGAGGAAGCGGCAGCGACGTGGGGCCACCATGCAGCAGCTGGTGGTGGTGTGCCTTCTTCCTCCTCCCGACCTACATGGCAGAGGGTCATGGACTTCAACTGGCATCGCACACACGAGGTGAGGTCAGTAGCGAGCGCAATGGCATGGAGCAATGGTGACTCGCTTGGTTTGCTTGCTGTTCCATTGCATGCAGCCGTCCCCCCACTGGCGATACCTCCCAGCGGCTCACACACCCGTCCCCCTGTCAGTCGTGTGCCGATCTAGCGCTGCAGATGCGGAGCAAGGCAAACGGTGTGAGGTCATGGGGAGGAGGGGAGGTGACGATAGCAACGGAGAGTGGGTGCGGTTGAGCGAGGGGGGTGGTGTTGGTGTTGGTGTTGGTGTTGGTGTTGATGTGTCGGGCGAGGAGGTGTGTGTGTATGGGTTGTCGGGATGGCTGGGGAGCGACGAGGCGTTCGACGCTGTGTGGGCACATCAGGATGAGGAGGAAGAGATCTGATTATTATTGATTGATTGATTGATTGGGGCGGGCGGTAGAGCAGAGCAGAGCGTGGTTGGCTGTGGAGCGTCTGTCTGTGGGGTCGGTGTGTGGATTGACTGACTGATTGACTGACAGTGGACTGGCTAGCTGTACATACAGAAATGGCGGACAGACACTGCATAGCTGCAGAGGGGAAGGCCGGCAGGTGTGTGTAGGTGGCAAGCGTCGGATGGATGGGTGGGTGGATGGACTGCGTGCGTTTGATTGACTTGATACGTGGGTATGAGTGAATGAATGAATGACGGATGAGTGCATATATCTGTGGGACTCTCGGGTATATGTGGTGTGCCTGCCTGCCGCAGGCGTCGTGTGTTGCATATGCATTGCTCAACGCTGATCCCAAGTTAATCCTGGCGAGCGAGTATCAAAATTGATGTGTCATAGGTCTCAATCACAACACCACACTGACATGACACAGACATACAGGTGTCGCAGTGAAGAGAAAGAGCAGCGCAGTCGAGTTGTGTCCATATGGCAGGCACCACACGCAGAATTGCCATCCATGTTGATCAACGCACAACAGACGAGCAGACAGGGCCACGAGAAATCACCGTCACATAGACACACACACGCCTCCCTCCCTCCCACCTTACTTACAGACAGCCATGGGCCGATCGGTCCGCAGGAAGGAACACAGACAGACAGACGGAACGGCATGAGTCTCACTCGATCACTCACCCGCGCCACTCGACAGCACAACATTCCATGGACACACAGCCAGAAAAAAAGGCGGCAGCACCCACACATCGCTACACTACTGACAGACAGACAGACAGACAGACAGAGATCCATATGGCGTATGAATGACAGACAGCCAGACGTCTGTAGAGTACGGATGCACGTACGATTCACACACATGCAGACACACACACACACACACAGAGAGAGAGAGAGAGAGACATGACACCCAGAGGCAGCCTCACTCTCGCCGTCTCGCTTGTGCGGCGAGACACCCACACGTCACTGGCTGGCCTCTCCACCCCACACACAGACACACACCATCACCCACCCACTCACTCACAAGACGCGTTGGTTGTGTGCGTGTTACATACAACCTATCGAGTGCTGACGTCTGTTTCCTTTCGTCCTTTCCATGAGTGTGTCGGTCATCTCTTTGTCTGCACCACTACAAAACACTCAGACGGGCAGATACAGAAACGAGTACATCGGCACACACACACGTAGACTGGGAAAGAGGAGGAGAGGGAAAAAAGATCTCATGCAGCTCTCACTCTCTCAGGCAGCAGCAGCACCTCGCTCGAGAGAGATACAATACGGCCACACGACACACACACACACACACACACACATTCATTCACACACCGCCGGCAAGTGCCTCGCTGGCTAAGATACAAATACACAGAACCATACCACAGGCTGCGTTGCCCCCTCTCACTGTCGTCTGTCTGTCTGTTTTTGCGCCCGTCGAGAAGGGCACACACCATGCAATACCACGTGGAACACCATCACACCAACACGGCACGGCATAGCAGGAGCGCACCAGACACACAGGGATAGAGAGGCAAAAAAAAACACAAGCGGCCGCACAGATGACACACACGCATGACGCCATAAATGCGTCAAGTCGGGATGAACCGCCGTAGCCAGCATGAACACTGACACCACCTACCTGAAGACACTATTGGGTCCATCCCGCAATACAGACACACAAACACGCTCACTCATCCACGCCCCGAGGCATAAACGGCCTCGGATGCCTCACTCTCTCTGCGCATAAGAGACGTCATGAAATGCACACAATGCCCAGCCGGCACTACAAAAGACTGTCCCTCCCTCCCTCCCTCCCTCCCCCATCTCGATGTCACATCCACCTCTGCTTGATCCGTCGGACCCATTGCCGCACCTCCATCCATGTCATTCATCCAGCATCCTGTCGGTCTGTCAGTCATCCTCCTCCTCCAACTCATCGAAGTCATCGGGTTGGATGCCCCAGCGGCCCGCACGTTCCCTTTGGAACAGCGAACCCTCCTCAGACACCTCCGGCACTGCAAGACAGCAAGACACAGGCACATGCGCGCACACACGCCGTGGCAGCCAGCCATTTTAACACCACTCACTGCATGCAGTGCAGCGCGAATACCGTGCTGGATCTTGTCTTGGGGCATGTAGCGCTGGTGGACCGCCACCGTGTGCTTGGTGTAGTCTTCGTCGCGGAGGACGTCGTCCCTGTAGACGGCCCGCCAGACGCACCCGCCTGCCTCGTCCTTGAAGACGACCACGTCTTGCCCAAGGTCGGCCTCGTCGCTCCCCAGCCACCCCAGGCGCAGGCGCGAGTGCCACCCCAGTTTCTCGCGCAGTTTGTCGCGAGCGATGTGGCGGGCTGCTGCTGCGGAGCTCACGTAAGTCACCGTTTGATCCTCAGCCCAGGGGCCCTCCTTGCGACTGTAACTGCTCACCAAAAAGGAAATGTGGATGCCGCTGCATGGGATCATCATGCTTGGCCATTGATCTCTTCCGCTCACCCTTCCTGCTCGTACTCGACTTTGTAGCACAGATCCAGCTTCAAATAGATGCTGCTGGGCAGAGGTCCCGATATCAACTCACTCGTGAATGCGTCAACAGAGTAGCTCATCTCCGTCACGGTCACGGTTCACGGCGTGCCGTTCTTCGCTCCCAGAGGTCAGGGAAAGAGGGGGGAAAGCGTCTGAGAGCGGTGCGAGAAGCGTCTGAGAGAGGTTGGTTGGTTGGTTATTGTGTTTAACGAGACTCGTGTCTGTAACCCCGAGGGGATCCTGTCCAGGTCACGCACTAAACTAGCAGCATGCACATGCATAGAAGCATGCACACGGCCTGTCTCCC